ATCGTAACAATGTATCTGTTTTAACACACAGTCATTTCATACAAGTTCGCATCGTTCATTTTATATACGACATACAAACTTCCTGGAACGATTTGCAATGTTAGAGTTTCACTTATTCATTCATTACCATTCAGGTTCCTATCAAGAAAAAACCACCGGGCAATAATTTGAACTGGGAAAGTTCAATGTAACAAATTATTAACTATAACAAGAGATAGGCTGGAAAGAAGTAGAGCACGAAATATTTAAATATCCTTTAGAGAACACAGGGCGAGCAGATATTCCTAGGGCTGAAACGGAGTTTTCAAGGGAGAGATCCTGCACCCTTCAGCTGCCCGACTGAGCTCCAGGCCTTGGAGAGGACACAGCCCTGGCTCACCTAAGGGCAGAAAAAAATCACTTGCCCAGCATCCCAGCAGCGTGCGGGGAAGGCTCGTCCCGGGAGGCGTCTCACCGGAGGCGCTCCGCTCCAAGGCCCCGGCAGGGGGCGCTGCGGGCGCTGTGCCCTCCCGGAGCCTGGAGCCAGAGAGGCCACCGCCGCCCGAGCGGGCTGAGCGCCGGGCAAACCCTTCCTCCTGCAGTCTCTGCAGCGCCCCCTACCGACAGAGTGTAGCATCAGGACAGCGGGCAAAGGAACACGTTTCAAGGGCCCATCGTCATTTTAATTTCATAGAATTGGCCATTAAGGGCGAATTTGAAGCGGGGGGACAATGAATTGACACATTCCGCAAGCACTGAGTAGGCCCCTGGATGTTACTGTGGGGCAGGTACTGTGCTGCCTATTGGCCTCTAGATGTGGTTTTTTGTTTTATTGTTTGTTTGTTTCCATGGATTGATGTCAGCCTCATTCTAAGCACTTAAGTGTACGAGCTCACGCAGTCCTCACAGCAACCCTATCACCGTCCTTAATATTACAGATTAGAAACCGAGGCCCAGAGAATTAAGTAACTCACCCAGCATCAGCTGGAATGTGAGCTAGGAATCGCACCTGGTTGCTGTCTCCACACGCTTAACCACTGTGCTCATGCCTCTCAGCATGTCTCTGTGGCCCCAAATTACCCACCCCTTCCAGGACTCCCCCCTGACCAGCCAGCGTCCGTGCTGTGGGAAGGGCTGGTGACCAAGCCTCTCCATATTAAGGTAAAGAAAAGCCCTCATTCACCCTCCATTACCCAAACATTATCCCGGGGTTCCAAAAAGTACAGGGAACGACTTTATCTGGGCATCGCATTTCACGCATTATGGCCCGGTGAGTCCTTCCTGCCTGCTCGGTGATGGCAGAAGACACCTTTGCTTGTAGGCACCCACGTGAGACCTGTGGTGTGTCTCCGTAGGGCATGAAGTCCGCTAGGATGGGGAGGTGTATCCCTGACCAGCCACACTCGAGCGCCGTGTTGATTTACGTATTGCCCTCCTCAAACTGCAGCCATAGACGGAGACACTGCCAGCAGCCACGCGAACCCTCTTAGCGTGTCTGTCTTTATCCTGGGAGTCCTTTCTCCAGCAGTGGCATGTGTCTTTGCCCCGTTCCCATGTTGCTGTGGCCCTCAGAGCTCTTTACGTCAGTGCTTCTCAGACAGCATTTCTAATAAGCCCCCGGGGTGACAGCATTGCTGCAGCTCTGGGGACCGCATTTGAGTAGCAAGAGACTGCGCAATGCATCCAAGGAGGAGAGGAGCTGGGCTACATCTCTAGGGGAACAGGATCCTTTCCTTAAAACCCAGAACCTGACTGCTATACCCAGACTCGATGTGTAGTATTAGTGTTCCTCCTAACAGGCCTTCAACACAGAACTCTTTGTGTTGAAGAGTTACCTGGCTACCAAAATTGACAGATCAAATCAGGGACAGACATTGATGGCAAATCACTTATCCCACCTAATAGGAAACCACACGGATAACAACCCAGAGCCAACAAAATCAATAGCAATGACACTGTCATTAATAAGACAAACAGTAATGCTTTTAATGAGATACTGATGACCTCATCTTTAAAATATTAAATGTAATGGACAAATGATTTGTTTCATATTGAGTTGACCCCTGATGGCTTGAGGGTAGAGGGATGGTATGAAACTTTGAAATATGAAATTTTAGGACATCTGTTACATAAGGCCTGGACCCAAAACTGATAATCTTATTTCCTTAAATTAAAAAAAAAAAAAAAAAGGAAAAATATTTAAGTGGCATTAAAAGCCTTAAAACAAGGTAAAGTGAGACATATAGGACTACAGCTCAAGAGACGTTTATTCAGCATTGATCCCAGGCACTGCGCCCTGGTGGGTCGAAAGGTCTCCTGAGGGAGCTCACAGTCAAAAGACAAAGTCATATAGACCCTTAATTTTACATATGGCAAAGCCAGGGAAACACAGGGCTCTGCGGGACCACAGGCTCAGGTGGCGAACAGGCGAGACTGAGGCTCAGGGGGCCGGAGCCAGTGAGTGAGGTCTCGGGCGTCGGAGACAGGGATGGAAAGGGAGAGACAAACCTGAGCTGTGCTAAGGGAGTAGAGCTTACAGGAGTTTGTGGCTGGCCGTGGGGCGTGCGGGAGGTTGGAATGACACACGGGTTTTTGGCCGGGTAACTGTAAGTGGCAGTTCAACGAGCTGAGAAAAGGAGTCAGGTTAAAGCTGCAGAGGTAATGGGTATTTATTCAGCTGGGTATTTATTGAATTAGGGGAGCCTGTGGGACATCCAAGTCCACACTCCTCAGCAGTTGGATATATGTCAGGATATTGGCGTAGAGGTTAAAATAGACAAAGAGATTGTGAAATTACTGGCATAGCTGGTAATTTAAAGCCTGAGGTGTAGATGGGGAAAAGGGTGGTAGGTCATGGAAGGAGCTCTGAGGAAGGCTAATTATTGGGCCAAGGGGGAGGTATACACACGGCAGGGTCACCCTGGAGACTGCCTGGTCTGGGCTTCATTATGTTCTGAGTCCCCCATTCTTGCCTAGCGGTATGACAGGTTTTTCCCATGATTCTCCAATCCAAATATTCTTGATAACTCTCAAATTGTGGGTCCTAGAGAAGAGTCCTTTCCCCCTTAGAATCTGGGGCAAGGTGGTCTGATAGGGTAGAGAGACTGGTCTCCCACATGGTCAGAGCCCCTACCTGCGGGGCAGGTGCTCTTGACCTACTGCCCTCTGGCGCCCAGAGGACTGGCCTTAGCCAGCAGGTGCTGCTCATAAATCACCATTCGCAGGAGAGTCCAGGTGGAGCTGTTGGGCTGACACTCCCCAGCGTCCTTCCCAAAGCAAAAGCGCATCTCCAGAGGGGGAGGGGAAGGGCTGGGGGTGAAGCAGTTAAAGGCTTACAACAAACCTCAGATCCTGCTCGGTCATATCTCTGGGCCCTGCTGCTTCATGCTTGATCAAGCCCACTCTGCACGGCTTCTCTCTTATTTGCAATAATTTTTCCATATTTCCCTCTGGGGAACCCCTACTCCACGGGTCAGGTCTGCGTGTGAATCCTGTTTTAGAACAAAAGCAGGTTCTTTTCCTCGGGGTTCCGGGCCTCATGCAGTAGTGGCATCAAGGGGGTCTTTGCAGGAAGGCTGTTTCCTGTAGGAGTTCTCATCAGCTTGCTTCCACAAACAGGCGAATGTATTATACGAATTAAAACCATGTCAGTGCAGAAGAAATGTCACCTAATCCCCTTTTCAACTTTATTGCCGCTGCTAAATCTCTCCTATGTGGAAATCAGAGGAAGGTGTCGCCTGTCCTTTAAAAATGGAAATATTCTGACTGGAGGCTGCATGAGGAAAGCTCTAGGGGGCAAAATTGTCCCAAAGGATCTTCCCATGGCCCTGGTCCAAACCACCCTGATACCATTCTTCATTGTCCAACTCCTCATGCACTTTCAAGGGATTCTGGCCTTTTCTATTTCGGGCTACCTCACCAGGGCACCGGCCACGTATGCCAACATGGAATAAATGCTGGCCTGCCTCTTGCCTTTTGGATAGTTAATCCGATTTAGGTCAAGGAATCTCCGGGTGAGCTCATCCTACCTTTATTTATATTACAAAGTACATATAGGTCCTGAGGGCCTTTCTGGCTTAAAACCGCTTCTCAAATTGACATCAGCACTCAGATAACTCAAATTCCTAAACACACAGGCGTGCCATGTCCTCTTTTATAGATGTCTGGGTCACAGCTCAGCAGTGGTCTGTGTGTTAGCCGTTGAAGCTAAGAGGTCTTCACCTTTCTGCCTGCAGCTCTAGCATAGTGACTCGCACAGAAGAATTCTTAGATAGAGCTATAGACAGGGATTCACTCTGCAAGAATTCATGTGTGATTCCCATACAGTGAGATGGGTGGGTCCGTGGATGAACTCCAAAATGTGGGGGGATATTAAAGCAGTGCGACTTGGAGAACAGGCAGTGTAACATAGCTAGAGAAAAAGCAATTAGCTTTAGGAAATAAATGTATTAATAGATGTAAGGACAACCAATGTTCCATTCTCCGATAGCACTTTTTAAAAAGTTGAAATATAATTCACGTGCCATGAATTTCACCATTTTAAAGTGTACAATTGAGGGGGTTTTAGTGTGTTCACAGAATTATACAATCATCACCGCACATTTCATCACCCCCCAAAGAGACCCTATACCTGAAAGCAGCCACTCCCCATTGCCCCCTTTCGCAGCCCCTGGGCACCGCTAATCTACTTTCTGTTGCTATGGATTTGCCTGTTCTGGAAATTTCATATAAACGGAATCAGACAGTATGTGGCTTTGAATCTGGCTTCTTTCCCTTACAACCTGATCACACCTTGACTGTGCCCCTGTCGATCCTTCTGCTGCTGTGTTGTGATTACCTGTTTAACCGCCTGCCTCCCATGAGGGCAAACTATGCCTGGTTTATGTCTGGCGCAGGGTTCAGAGCCTGGCACAGAGGGGCCCTCGATGGGTGTTTGCTGAACAGACGCTTTTCCTACCCCAGTGAGTGTGGCTCGTGGCGCTGGGTGTGCCTCTACACACGCTCCTTACACCCACGACGACATGGGAAGTTCTTACTGGCTCTGCATCGAGAGGGAGGAGGGAGGTCCTCATGGCACGACGCGTCTTGCCCTGCGAAATGTAAACATTTTCCTCGTTTGGGCTGCTGCAGGCTCGCGTGACACCGAATTAGAGCAGGAGGGAGGCTGAGCAGAACTCAGCCCTACATGGCTGGTGTGGGCGTATTTCAACTGTACCAATTCATTTAAATGCATGCTTTAGGAGCCACTGAAGACATACATTTTTGCAAATGAATTTATGTAAATATGTAATCAATGCGTACTTGGAGATGGTATGTGTATTTTAATTTCCTCTTACATTTGCAGTGCTCTCGTCCTCTGATCTCTGGGTAACGTCAGCCCCTCCCAGCTTGACTTTCTGCCCCAGTCTCTCCCCACTTGAATCCATTCTGCTCATCACTGCAACATGGATTTTCCTAAAACCCTTCTCCTTTCTCAAACCTTTAATGGTCCCCATTTCGTAACAGCTAAAACCTCCTTAGACTGGCATTTAAAACCTCAGTGGTGTGACCTCGGTCTGTCTTTTGAAACATACCCCATCCCTCACCTTCCCAGCTCCTCAGGCCAGACAGTGGTCTCCTTCCCTCTGCGCCCTAAACGCGCCTTGTGCCCTCCTGTCTCCCACTCTTGACTGTGCACTTGTTTAGTCTGGATAAGTCTCCGTTTCTCTCCACGCATCTGAATCCCTCCGGATCCGGCCAAGTCCCCCCCAGGTGGGAAACTTGAACCTGCTAAGGGCCCACGTGGTCGCCCTCTTCAGAACGGTGTCAACCTCTTTTCCAGTCGGCCCGCAACCCACCGGGGCACCGGCGGGGCGCCTTTCATCTCTGCGCTCCTTTGTGCCTTTGCCTGTTCTTGGTCCCATACCCTCCCCACAGGCGGGGTCAGCTCTGGGAGGTGGGGACCGTCCTGGGCTGGGGCTGCGTCGCAAAGCCATCGACCAGCAGGTCCATGGTGCCTCTCGCCCCGGAGGCTCAGGGTCCCGTGTCTCTGGAGCCTTCCGATGAGAACCAGGCCGCCGGCCCGTGAGCTGAAGGTGCGATATTGTCTCTCTTTCCCTCCTGCAGCCATCCTTCCCATCGCCTCCAGCTGCTGCACCCAGGTTTCCCAGCACGTCCCCAGGCGGCTCCTGGAAAGAGTGAACGTGTGTCGCGTGCAGAGAGCCGATGGGGACTGTGACCTGGCTGCCGTCATGTGAGTGCCCTTCCCCCGGGATGTCTACACACACGCGCACACACACACGCACACGCACACACCCGTGTCTGACCGTGGGAGCTGTTCTAGGTCGCTAAGTGTTCCCCTGTACTTGGCCTCAGTGATGATTTTCCCCCCATTTGCAGCCTTCACATCAAGCACAGAAGAATCTGTGTCAGCCCGCACAGTCACACTATCAAGCAGTGGATGAAAAAACAAGCAGCCAAGAAAAATGCCAAAGGCCACATTTGCCACGTGAAGAAACATCACAGCAAGAGGCACAGCAAAGGGGCGCGTCGGGGAGACAGGGCGCACAGCCACCGGGCTCCTCACTGGTGACCGAGTGAGCCTGTGAACACGGCGCCGGGCGGGGACTGGGCCATGACTCGTTATAAGTTTATCCTGTGAATGTTCCTGCTTGGGAGCCACCGGGGCAAAAAAAAATCATGTTTTGTTTTTAAAAAAACACAATGATACAGTATGCAAATGTGGCCAATACCATACTCAACGGAAAAATGAAATGAAAAGATAACACTTATCTTCACGTAATATTTTAAGAGCACAGTATACAGATACAATTTCTTCAATTTTTTGACTATAAAGTTTTCCAAACCTACAGAGAAGTCGAAAGAATGGTACAATGAATGCCTGTGTACCTGTCATTTAAATTAATCATTGTTAACATTTTGCCATATTTGTTTCTCTCTCTCTCTCCCTGTGTATATAAAATATATAAATTTTTTGCTAAACCACTGGAAAATAAATCGCAAACATCGTGATACGTCACTCCTAAATTTATTTTTACTAGTACAACTTGGCATCCCTCCAGAATAAAGACATTTTATATGTAATCACATTATCAGCTTCATACTTATACATTACAGCTTCATATCTATATATTTCACAGTGAAATTTCTCCAACTATTTCCAGAATATTCTATATAGTTTTTTTCAATCAATCTCTCTAGGTTCACATATTGCAATCAATTGTTATATTTCTTTAGTATTTTTTTTTTAAAAAAAACCATACGTTTATTGATTTCAGAGAGAGGAAGGGAGAGGGAGAGACAGAGATAGAAACATCAATGATGAGAGAGTCATTGATCGGCTGCCTCCTGCAGGCCCCCGACTGGGGATCAAGCCCACAACCCGGGCATGTGCCCTGACCGGGAATCGAACCCCGATCTCCTGGATCCTAGGTCGATGCTCAACTGCTGAGCCACGCCCGGCCAGGCTCTTTAGTATCTTTTAATCTAAGGAAGTTCCTCTGCTTTTTTTCTTTCTTCCCATGGCATAGATTGTTTTTTAAAAAGCCTATGGGTTCCTTTTGTTTCCTCATGATCACCCTCAGTTTTAACATTTTCAGCAAGAATGCTTCCTGTGTGAATTTGTATATATCTTATTGCATTATTTAGAGTTTGTAAACATTAAAGCTCATTTTCTACATAGCAAGGTTTTAGCTGAATATCACTTTCAAACACCCAGTCTGAATAACTACCATTGTAATTACCGATTGATAAATTCTGATGCTGAAAAAGAAGCCTGCTTTGCTCCAGGAGCCATCTACCCACCACAGTCAGCTCTTAGAGCTCTCGGGAGGAGTCTGGAGTTGGATCCCATGCAGGCTGATTTTACTTCCCCCAGACAAGGAGCCTGCATCTGTTAACTCCCACCCACCTTTCCCACGCTGTGGGTGGATCATTCCTTGGTTTCCTTTTCCACGGAAGCTTCCAGATGTAGAGCCAGACCTGGTTCCACAAACAGCCATTAGATGTCAGGAACAAGTGTCCACCTGGCCAAGTGTCAGGTGTCCTCTGCCTCCCGGCTGGCCAGTCCCAGCAGCAGTGTTGCCAGGATGACTTGGAGGTGATAAGGGACACACGGACGCTGAGCCTGATATCTCTAAAGTATCACCAAGTGCCTTTGTCCGACACTCTCATTGACACCAATTTAGCAGGGGATTTATTTGCTCTCACCAATAATCCTGTGAACTTTATACTGCTATTTCCACTTTTGGATGAGGAAACCTGAGGCTCATAGACTGAACTAATTTGCCCAGGGCCACACAGTAAGCGGCAGAGATAAGCCCGTGCCCAGGTCTCCAGACCGTTCTCTCATCAGCCCCTGCAGAGGGCCCTGGAAGGGGGGACACAGGTGGGGCAGAGAGAGGGGCGTTCGGGTGGAGAGCTGTGCTTCCCTGCGGGCCACAGGACGCCTGCCGCGGTCTCGCCTGGAGGCCCGGGCGGGAGGCACGCTGCTGTGGGCGCCGTTGGTACTGATGCTGGCACTACCATCTTACAGACTCGAGCAGGCCCCAACCTGATGTTACTGACTTTCCCAATCTTAGGCAATGGAGAAAACTGCACACTATTCATAACCTTTGCTTTGCAAAATCTGCCTCACCAGATTCCTCTTTTCCACTTAAAGACAGATTATGTCCAAAAATTCAGCATTCTTACACTCAACCCCATCCCACTTTTTACTGTGATAATACAGGAGATCAGAGGAAAATGGTTCCTAAATGTTGTAGCTGGTACAGGCTGCTATCCCAAAATACCAGAGTCTAGGTGGCTTGGGAACAACAAGCACTTATTTCTCTCAGTCCTGGAGGCTGGAAGTCCAGGATAGCGGACTTGGCGGATTCAGTGTCCGGCGGAAGCTCTGCTCTCTGGCTTGTAGACCACTGACTCCTCGCTGCATCCTCACGTGGTGGGAAGGGCCAGGGAGCTCTCTGGGGCCTCCTGTAAGTCATTGTTCCCATTCAGGAGGGCTCCCCTCATGACCTAAAGACATCCACCCACCAATACGAAGTGTGGGGGTTAGGATTTCAACGACTGAGTTTTAGGGGGACACAGACATGCAGACCATGGCACTATTATCCAATGACATCAAATTGCAGGTTCTAAAAGCCAGGGAGCAACATTAACTAAAAAATAATTATTAAAATAATATGGGGATAACAGAAATAAACCACACAGTCTAAAATTAATCATAATAACCAACATAAATAAAAAGCTAAGACAAAACAAAAACACTAGTTTCTAATCCTCTCAACCAACAACTCGAGTTATTTTCAACTCTGTCTCTCCCAGTGTCGATCCATATAATTCTATACAATTTTTGTGTAGTTACAATGACAGTAGGTTTATAGGCTATGTTTTTTTAAAAATATGTGTTTATTGATTTTAGACAGGAAAGGAGAGGGAGAGAGAGAGAGAAGAAATATTAATGAGAGATAAACATCGATGATGAGTCATTGATTGTCTGCCTCCTGCACGCCCCCTACTGGGGATCCAGCCCACAACCTGCGCACATGCCCAGACAGGGAATCGAACAGTGACCTTCTGGTTCATAGGTCGATGCTCAACCACTGAGCCACACCAGCCACTTTCATTTATTTATTTAAAAATAAATTTTTATATTTACTGCAATGCAAATAATTGGAACTCTGTATGAGGAACGTGTGCAGCTCCTTAAGGAAATTCTGCTTCACAGGCTGTCACAAATGCTTATTAATTTATTATTGTGTTATCAAGCTGTTTAGGTCACGTTATTAACCCCTTAAGGTTTTTTATATTATAAATATATATATAAGTGATATATATATATAAGTAATATATATTAAAGTAATACATGTGTATAGTAAAAAAAAAAAATCAAAAGTACAGCAGAATTTATTATGAAAAGCAACCTCCTCTCACTCTAGCCCCCCTTTTCCCAGACCTATTTCATCGGGGTAACTACTTTTAACCTTTCTGATTTGTTTGTTTTTTTGTTTTAACCACAAATATTTATGGATAGATTGAAAAATACATAAGGCAGAACCCTCTGGAACCATAAGCACAACCATGGAGTAAACCAGTTTGCTATACAGCCAGTGTGAGAGAAAAGCCATAGTCTTAGGAACTTTAAACAAGCAAGTCAAGGAGCCAAGTTTTGGTTCTTTTGGTGGTTAGGGGAGGAAACATTCCCCTCAGTCCCCTTAGGGTGCATGGCCAGGTCCTAAAATCAAACAGGCAGAGGCAGATGGACAGGACTGTTGGTTAGGACTCTCCTCCGTGTCCCTTTGCCTTCAGGATATGGCAAGGAGACAGGTGTGCGCCCGGCAGGGATAGTGTGTGAGCCTGTGTGTGACCCAGGAGAGCTGCATCTGAGGCACCTCGGCACGGAGCACCCCCCTAAGCTGGCCTGTGGCCCGGGTCACTAATGCATCGCCCTCTGGACCCTGTTTCCTGGGAAAGGCCCAGGCGGGCAGAAGCCCTGTTGAGTGTGTTCGCACTGACGTCCTTGTGCCGAGCCCCGCGCCTGGTAGGTAGAAGGCGCTCAGGGAATATCTGGGCCTAAAAGTTGCTCAAACAGAACCCGGAATCTGGAACTCAGGGACCGCACCCCATGGCAGCAAGCACAGCAGCCAAGCCGGTAGACACGAATCTCTCTCTCCAGCTGGCGTTTGGAGAGCTGGGGACTGAATTCTTAGACTCCTCAGAAGATGATAGAGGGGACTTGAGAAGGAAACATTACTGTCTTTTTGAATAAAGATAAATTGATTTGCAATAAATTACTTGGAAAAACAGAGAAGATGTGACTGTATTCATACCCCAAGCCAGTGGAGCATGAGACATTATCTCAAAGACTTGAAGCATGTAGGTCACAATTGTGAGCTCCAATTCCCTGCACCGACAGGCCTGAACAAGGCTATGTAGCTGGGTGTGGCCCTCGATACAACCAGGTCATTTTTTTAAGTGTTAGAAATAGCTCCTTAATCCAAAATGGGCTCAGTTACTTTCTAGGGGTAAAAGGAGAAACTTGGCACTTCTAGTTTCCCAATCTAAATTTGCAAACCAGGCCCAGTCGTGTCGTGGAGAGCTGGGGAAGGATCTGCTTTTTGCTTTAGAAAAAGAAGCTAAGGGGGGGAGGCAGTATCTTCACACAGCCTGGGTGGTGATGTTGGGGGCTGTCACTAATAGAACAGAGGACGTCTGTGCCCCTGCAGCAGCAGCTTCCTGTGAGTCGTGGGTAGCTAAGGCAGCAACAGGGCAGCAGAAATAGGGCCAGAGCAAAAACACAAAAATTGCTGGTCCCTGAGCACAGTTGGGACAGTGCCCTTGAGCCCTGGGGGTCACATTGAAGAAAGGTGAAATCTGACCATTCGAGTGGTGGGATCACAAGATGTCTTAACTGAGCATCAAAATAATGTGTCCCTATCTTTGAGTCCCATTCGTTGTTTGTTTCCAGCATGGAAATAGCTTGTTTTATTGATTTGAATTAGACTGGAAAGAGGTTAGAAAATGTAGAAGCCTCCCCTCCCCTTGCCCTTTTTAAAAAAATCATAAGAACCT